TAGAAATTCTTTATAGATGCATTGAAGTTAAGTTTTCCAGAAATGATCTGCATTTACTTCTACCAACCAGAAACACTGCCAAAATGTGACCACTTCAAATTATATTATTTGCTTAGGGCTCTTCAACCCACAGAAGCAGCATGAACTCAATTGCAAATCTATGTGGTTAAATCTTGTGGTTAGTTACTGATTCTCAGGGATTCCCCCCCCACACACACACACACACTCTCCAGTAGGGTTAAAACAAGCAGGTTGCATTGATTTCTTCTGTGTTAGGCAATTGTTTTTCTCATTTACTTTTACCCTATAGAAGTACCCCTATGGTGTCTGAGCTTTGTCAGGGGTCACCTTTTAAATTAAACCCTTTATATGGGAGTACGTTTCAATATTCTAGACTGGAAACTTCACATAGTCACTCCTCATACATTCTCTAGGGTTTTGCAGAAAAATCATGGTGCAAGCCAGCTTTTCTGCTTGCTTCCCTCTATATTTCCTGGTTTTAGTTTTGTTTTCTGTTTTGTGGATTACTTGTTTTCATGTCATTTCATTGATGCATTAATAATATTTTGTATATACAGCTTCATCAGTAGTTTGATTCAAGATATCTAATCAACTAAATTTCTAGAATCAAAATGCTATGTTGACATCTTATTAACATATGACACTTACATGGAAACATATATCGGTATAGCATAAATATATAGCTTTATGAATTTTTTTATGAATTTAATACATCCTTGGACCAATATTTAAATTCACTGAGAAAACACCAACAATATTAAAAAAGCTCTCTTGGGCCAATCACTAGTTTTCCAAGGGTCAATATTATTGTGAGTTTTAATTTCAACGGTTAGTTTTCTGTGTTTTTTTTTTTTTAATTTAAGTAACTATAATCCTTCTGTATGTAATCTGTTTCTAGTTTCTTTCATTCTCTAACACATTGGTGAGATTCAACCATATTGTGTACAATGTAATTAATTTATTTATTCTCATTGCTATACAGTATTTCATTAAATATATCAGAATTTATTTAAACATTCTACTGCTGATTCTACCAAGATGACAGAGACCAGGGTGGCACCTGGAATGAAGAAACAAGAACAGTAATATTTAGTGGCTTCCAGTTGTATACTGTTTGGATGGTGCTGGTGAGAAAATTCTAGTATGAATCTTTTAGCTAACATTTCCATTGGGTATAGACCTAAGAGTGGTAAATAGACTTTAATTTAAAATACACATGTAACATTTTTTAAAGGCAAAGTGTCTAAGGAAAAAAGTTACAGGTCAATTCCTCAATGTACAAGTTGAACTAATTCTTTTTAAAGAACAGCATAATGTTTCATAGGGTGAATTTTTAATAAATTGTTCATTCATTCTTATCTCAATATCTATTTCAATGCTTTCAGGGTTTCATGGCAGACTACCTTAGGGCCACTCAGAAGAGAAACCTAGAAGAAAATCAAACTCAAGGAAAAGTAGAAATTAAAATGACAAGGGAGTTAAAGACAGAGCTAATAGTATGGCATTTGATCAGAGAGAGTAGGTAGAATCAACTCATGTTTTGAGGAAAGCATTAGGAGTTATAGAAAGTAAACAAAAACTTATGGGGTAAAATCAAAAGAAAAGAGTATATAGAAAACTTGCAACACAGGAAACTTGCGATTTGATCAGTTTTTTTTTTTTTTTTTTTTTTATTTTGTCAAGCTGTTGAGAAATGATCCTAGGGACTTCCTTTCTTCCCCTCATTTGCCTTTCCTGTCCATCCATCCAGTGGGCATTATGGAGCACCTGATTGTGACCTAGTGAAATGGAGAATTGAAAGAATAAAGCACAGTTTGGAGCTTATGCATCCTCTACTTTGGGGAATTGCAATGAAACCCTTAAATACTACAAGAAGTATTCTGTCCCCTTCACTACTGAATCCACCCTCTCCTGGAAGGTAGTGTGGGTGCTGTTTTATAATAGGGGAACAAATCTTTACAATGGTGCCCTCCTACAGCCAATTTGGGCTGGAGACACCTTCTCCTTGGGTACTTAGCAAATAGGGACAAGGGCAAATAGAGGGATGGTGAAGCTGGGGAATTCATGGGGGCCACACAAGTGTCCTCCCGGCCTTTGGGACCAGCCATAAAAAGGCTCAGGTGGCTTTCTCCAGGTTATATTCTTGAGCTCACCAAGCTAGACACAAATGAGATTCAAGACAAGACCTAGTCAGGCATAAAGCCAGGTCATGGCTCCAAGGTCAGACGTTGAATCACACCCTTGGTTAAAATGGGTCAGAACTAGGACCAGTCCAAGAAACTCCCACATAGAAAGAAATTCTATTTAGAGCAAAGTCAACCAACTATTTATGATTTTTATTTAGTTTTTTAGTTGATTAAATTTATTAAATTACAAAATAGTATATGTAACTATCAAAATGATAATAAGGTATATGAAGAAAAATACTTCAAACTAAACCATCTACAAGGAATACTTCAGATAAATACTTATAAATAATCCATTTATTATCTAAAGTAACTGATTCTAATACTTTGGTATATAATTTAAAATATTAGAATATATTTTAGTATTAGAATCTACATAATTTTTGTCTTTATACAAGCATATAAAATAATTTAAAATTGTATAAAAATGCATACTCTTACTATAACATTAAGTTAAGTATAATGATATATAAGTATGTAACATTTTATATTTAATATACATATATACGCATATATATATGTAATGGGAAAGAACAGACACCTAACATATATATGTATATATTTGTACATTTATACATATATACTTACATAAATACATGAGTACATATGTATATGTGTATGTATAACGTGTATATGTGCATTCTTCTATGAACCTTTATTTCTTTTTCCTTATAGTACATATGTATATGTGAATGTATAACGTGTATGTGTGCATGTGTATGTATACACGTGTATACATACACATGCACACATACACGTTATACATACACATATACATATATATATGCATATAATTAATCCTTCCTTGGAAATAGTTTATTATTCTATATAAAGATCTATTCTCACCGATTTTTTTTTTTTTTTTTTGGTTAGAAATTTCCCCACTGCACTCCTAAGGAGGGTGCCAGAGTCTCTATAGAGGGTTTGGGACCGCATATTGGGGCAGAAACACACAAAGCAGGACCTTTGCATCCAGGGGTTTCAGGCCAAGCTCCGCCCCTAGCGTGCGGCTGCCAATCAGCTCCCGGGACGGCCCTCTCCTCTCCGCGTCTGCGGCGCTGCCCACCTCCCCGCTGCAGGCCTCCCACCACTCTTTCTACCGCTAATTTTCGAGTCCCCGGGCCGTCTGCCCCCTCTCCTGGCCCCATCCGCTACGGAAAACGCCCTCCCTCCTCTCAAATAGTCGGGTGTGGAAATTGCTGGACCAACGGTGAGTCTTGTGCAAAGATGGTTTCTGGAACGGGAGCAGGCCCGAGCGCACCCATCGAATTAGGGGCAGCTCGGAGCGCAGGTCACGGCGGCCCTGGTGGGAGAGAGGCACCGGGCCGAGTCCCGGGCGCAGCGGCCGGGCGCCCGCGGAGCTGCGAGGGTGGGCGGGTTCCAGGACCGGGAGCGCCGGGCCCCGCAGGCAGGGGTCTTTCAAGAAGGGTGCCTTGAGGCTTTCCACCTCTGCTCTTTCTGCTCTTTTCTGCCATTCTGGCTCTTAGTTATTTCGTGCTGAACTTCTTTCCTCCCGGACCCAACCACCAAGAGACTAATACATCTCGCCCCTTTTTAGACATCTTCTTTTTTTTCATTTTAAAGCTGCGTACAGAAAATAATATATCAGATGCCAACATTTTTACCACCTTTCTTCAGCACTCCGCCCTCCCCTCCCTAAAATAAGCAGTTAAAACCCTTTTTCTAACCCTTTTCCTGCGCCATCCTCAGAGGTTAAGTTGGATTGTATCTTTCCAGGGTACATTTTTGTCCTTTGTTATTTTTATGTAATGTCTGCACCTTTATTCTGAATTTAGTATTTCTTTCATGAAACTCATCGCGAGGTTTGAACCTGCCCTACTATTAGTCCTGACATTTCAGATCCGGAAGGGACTTGGCATGTCCACAGCCCTTCTCATTTAGCTGAGAAACCTGAAGCCTGGAGAAGGTAAAGGACAAGCCTACTGAATTGAAGCCCTAAAATAAATCTATAATATAGATCTTAGTTTTATCCGCATTTTGCAGAGAATCAAACTGAGGCACAATGGAATTAGGTAGCTTGTTCAGTCACACAGCTGGTGGCACTGAGATTTGAATCCAGTCCATCATCTGACATTCTGAGTATCTAACCATTATACAATCCCATATTTCACATGCTAGAGCTGGCACCTGTAACAGAGGTGAAGTCACCACATAGACAGGTGTGGTCTGCCAGAACAAGCAATTCAAAGAGGGGAGAGCAACTGTCAAATGATTTATCAGAGAGGAAAGAACTGTACATTAATATGTTTTAGCTACCCATTGTTTGACAAACGGATTTTGACAATAGGTATTTTTATGCGTTACGAAAGTAATGCATGTAACAATACAATCAATGCAGAATTATGTAAAAAGTTGCCTTTCTCCTATTTCTCAGGCTAAAAATTATTAACTGGTAAACATGTATCCTTCCCCGCCATAATACGAATATATACATAGTTTCATTTTTCTCATTATAAAATCGAAAGCGTATTTAACAATTTGTACATTTGTATTTTTCCTTTTCCAATGTGTCAAGGTGCATTCCCCCAATACTAGATTTAAACTCTTAGTAAGAATTGTAGTTCGTAGAGCGTAGGTCCCATAATTTGTCCATCTTTTTCCTAATAAATAGAAATAAACTAGAGAAGTTTGTCTTTAATAAAAACGGCAGTCCTCGCTCCTAGGATGGGACCGCTGGGCGTCCCTACTCTGCCGCAATGCTGAGCCGCCAGGCCCGGCGACACAAAGAAGCGCTGTCCCCTGCCAAGCGCCGCCCCCTTGGTCTCCCACTCCTGCCCGGGAGGAAGTGGGGAGGAGGAGACTCGTCGGGAGCCGCTCCTCCCCTCCCACTCCGATCTCCTGGATCAGGATCCCAGCTCACGGATCGTTCGTGCGGTCAGTGGTCTGCAGGGAGCCCCTTCCCCTCCGAACCTGAGTCCCTCTAAGCGCCAGGCCCTGCCCCCTCCCAGCTGTGGAAACTGCAGGGTGACCTGGTGAGTGGGCCCATCGGAAAGCCTCGCGCGCCGGGGAAGGGGCTGGTGGCGGTGGCCTCCGCCCGGGTGATGAAGGCGGACGAGGCCCGAGGACCGGGGGCCGCGCTGGGGTAGCTGGCCGACCTACAGAGGCGCGCGGGGGCCCGGGTGTGCCCTAGTCGGGACTGAGGCTCCAGGCGCTGAGGGTCCCTGTTTCTGGGGGCGATTTTCCCTGCTCTCGGCTGTGCACCCCGTGCCGCAGTGCCCCGCTCCGCGGGTTCTGACATTGATGCTGGCGTGCGCCTGCTTTGTGTGGTCGACTTCAGACAGGCCTGGCACCGAACGGGCTTTACGCGTTGAGAATACCTGGAGAATGCCGAAGGCCAGGGTGGAGGCAGGGCTTGCTCAGGACCACACAGGTAGCTGGTGATGGAGCATCATCCTGCCCTACTGCGCTTTGACCTTTGCAAACAAGGTCTCTAAGACTGAGATCTTTCACCCGCTTGAAATGTCCCCTGGAGACTGGTGTGTGGGAGGGTGGGGCGGAGGAGGGGATCCTGGTGAGATACCCCACCTCATGCACAGACTGCGGTGTCCCCTGCCTGGAGAATTCTCTGCCAACCCAGCGCTACCCTCCTCCCCGGCTGGCCGCCCCCCACCCCCGCCCCCGCCCCCGCCCCCGCCCCAGGCCCCCTCTGCTCCACTTCTGACGTCACCCACTCGCTCTGTGCAGACTGGCTCTGGGCCTGGGAGCTAAGGAGGGGAGAGGGGAGCCGGCACCGGACTCCAAGCTTATTACTGACAGCCTTTGGGAGATCTGGAGGACCTTTCTCACACATTGTTCCTTTGAAAGAAATCCTGTGAGGCTAGCAGACCAACGCGTAGGAGAAATGGGGAGAGGTGGAGACCAGCAGGGAGAGAGCGGGGGAGGGGGAGATTGCGCGCTAGCGAGTGCGCGGGGGCGGGGGAGGGGGCGGGGGCAAAAAAAAATAGGAAAGGAGGAAAGAAAGAAACGGGTCTTCTTGCTGTGGCTCTCCTGAAAGTCACCCGCGGAAGGGAGCAAGTATGAGTGAAAGGCAGGGAGTAAGGGAAATAGAAAAAAGGGAAGTTTTGAAGCCTTACTACTATGGTAGTGGGGAAGGACTGAATGAGGAGGCCCACTAGAGAGGTTTCAGAGATACTAACAAAGGTATGGGGGGGGGGGGGTTGTGCGTTTTTGATTTTTAAGCAGCATGGTAAGTATATGCAATTTTACTTAATTTTAAAATTTTTAAATTATTATTATTTGAACTTCTCTATCCTTCCATGAACATTCCATATTTTATATGCATGAATTAAACAAAAAGAAATTTCAAGTTAAAATTAAATAAGATTTAGCTCCAATTCTGGCTTAGTCGAAGTTCATGGACAGTGAAAAAGATATAAGGTTTATAAGGAAAAAGAAATAAAGGTTTATAGAAGAAAATGGCATGAAGAAGAAAAAACAAAGAATTGTGTGTGTGTGTGTGTGTGCTGTTAATGAGCTTTGAAGTTCAAGCTGTTTACTGAAGAAGTGGTCCTGTGATTGCCCTTACCTTCAAATCCATCATTCAATCACCCATCCACAGAACACCTGTTCATTCTCCTGGAGAATTCAAAGAATAAACTGCGTTTTATGACCTCAGACACTGTGCATATCAGTATCTAAAATCAGCTACAGTAAAGGGCGTAGCCCCATCTTCCCTTCCATACATTTCTCGCAGGGAAAACCCTGTTTGCATCCTGTGGAGTACTTTATGGTAGGAGTAGAAAATCTGTTCTCTGGGGCTGGGGTTGTGGCTCAGTGGTGGAACGCTTGCCTGGCATGCGTGAGGCACTGGGTTTGATTCTCAGCACCACATAAATAAATAAAATAAAGATGACCATTGACAAGTAAAAAAATATTAAAAAAAAAAGAAAGAAAGAAAATCTGTTCTCTCCCTGAGTTACAGGTTTGCCTGGGTGTCTTTTGCTTTGGACAGCGGCTTCAATTGTAGCAAGCTAGAAGGGGCAAAAGTGGACCCAGAGGAGAGAAGGCAGAAGCTAGGTCACTCCCCCTGGGAGAACAAACAAGAATTCAGGCACAAAGACAGAGCGTTTGGTTCAAAACCAAATGTTATGTTCACTGATAGCTGGTTAAAGTAAGAACAAAACTGGCTGCAGAGTTCAAGGAACCCTCAGAGAAGAGGGAATCAGAGATACATGTGGGCAGATGGACAACCAGACAGGAGGCAAAAGAAGACTTTTAGGGCCAGTAAGATAGGATCACTTGATCAATCTACCTAATCTTTTACATACTTAGTCATTTAATATATGTTTACTTGCTTGGTTGAACTTATATTATCTCAGTATTCTTTGTACTTGTAATAATAACATATACAGCATTTCAAAAGATTCAGACTTGTATAAAGATGAAAAAAACTATTCACTTTTTCCCTTCCTAATTCGGTCAAGGGTAGCACATTCAAATGTGGCCACCATAAATTTTCTCTGTATGTAAAAACCCAACACTCAAGGAATGCTTCTATCCTCTTGGTCCACTTCATTTCCACTTGGTTCTTCATTTTTCTGTCTATATTTGTAGTTTCATGTGGCAGTAGCACCTTGAGCATTTGTCTTCAATGCTGTCAATTTCTGTAAAAACTTTCTAGAAGAGGAATCGCTATGTTGAAGAATAGGTTCGCCTTTGAGTACAAGTTGCCACTGTCAGTCACTTTCAAGAGTGCCGACATTCTTGGTCATTGCTCAGATAGCTATAGTGTCCCCAGATCCCTTCCACCAGTATACATTGTTAGTAGCCCTCATCTTCTTCACCTTCTTTTCTGTGTCTCCTTCTCTTTCTCCTAGTTTTTTTTTTTTTTTATCTATCTAATTATTTATTGACAATCTCAAGGATAATATGCAGTATATCTTTCATTGCTTGATTAGTGATATTGAGCACTGCTTCATAGACGGGGTCATTTAAATTTTGTCCTCTGGGCACACATTCACTTAGAAAGGTGGTATTTCTGTAGATAGAAGGATGTGGGAGAGGGGACGGGAAGGAAGGAGAATGGAAAGAGAATCTGAAATGGAAGCAGGCCCTGTCCAGGGGCGCCAGACAGTCTGGAAGCTACAGGAGCAGGGACAGGAGATAAAGCTGGAAAACTTAAGGAGTTGCCAGCTGCCGTGGCCTCCCAGACCAGGAGAAGGGAGTCAGATTTTCCCCTGTGGACACCAGAGAAGTTCTGTGGTTTTTCCTTCAGGTCAATGATATGATTAGATGGGGTTAAAAGAATGAAGTAGGAACAGATCCTAGTGAAGTAGAAGCTGGATTGGTTTATTCCAGACGTGAATCAGTGAGGACCTGAACTAGGCTAATGGCAGTATGCTCAGAAAGGACGTTGATAGGATATTGACCTGCTGGATTTGAGAAGGACAGGAAGAAGGGACATTCTGTGCTCTGTGGTTTACTCTCCTGATCATTTGTGGGCCCAGGATGGGCAGGGAAGGGGAAAGCTTCTTATTAACCCTGTGTTGATTGGCCATATCTTCACAGTAGTTCTTTGAGATAGGAAGGTAGTTGATGCTTGTGAAACTTAGAACAGCTATTGTTGAGGGAAATAATAAATTTGACTTCTTTAGTGTTGAAGACCAGTGATAAATGGCTATGGAGTGCATTCATTATGGGTCTTGAACTTACTAGTCACCTTGAGACCAAGGCCGTTTTATCCATGGCTGTGGAAGACACTGTGCCCAGGCCAAGGACTTGTTGAGGACCCATCAAGATACTTGGGAAATAAACATGAGAATCATTAGCACCAGCATTAACATTAGTCTTAATATGAACTGAAACCCAGGAAAACTATAAGATCAGAATCAATAAAAATTTGTTGTTTGTAAAACCTAACATTATTTTTTTACTTTACAAAAATCCCCTATTATTCATATACTTGAATGATTTACTCTTAACCAAGTGGTCTATATATATGGAAATGTTATGGGAAAGGGTGTTTGACCTTTGTTTTTCCTTTAATCCTCAGGAAAACCTTATGTGATTATGAGATCATTCCTACATAATGAATGCAGAGACTATGTCTGAGTTCTGTTGCTGGGATCTCACAGTTGATAATACATGAAACATAAATCCAGACAGCCTTAACTCCTGAGCTTGTCATCATTTTGCACATTACCTTGAAAGTCACTGTTACGGTTTAAATGGGTCCTTCAGTGTTGGTGTGTTGTAATCTTAATTGCCAGTGGCTCTGCCCTTGGGAGTAGATCAATGCCATTATCAAGGTAGTGGGTCATGGAATTGTCCCGGCAGTGGGTCTCTGATAAAACGATGACTTCAATCCCCTTCCTCACTCTTTCACACGTGTTCTCTGCCCTTCTGCCTTCCAGCATGGGATAATGTGGCATGAAGGCCCTCTCCAGATGTGGGCCTCTCAATCTTGCACTTCCCAACCTCTATGATTCTAAGAAATAGATCGTTGTTCTTTATAAATTTTCAGCCTCAGGTGTTCTGTTATAGGTACACAAAATGGATCAAGATAGGCAGCATATTCTCTGATAAGAGACATAAAAATAGTAGAATAAAGATGAAAACAAAAGACAAACAAACAAAAAATGCTTTAGGACTCACATATACCAAGAGGAGATAAAGGAGAGAAAGTTAAGTGGTCTCAGGGTTTGAAGATAAAAAAAGAGGCCACGCTTAGGGTATGGTGAGCCTCATGGATAGGAAGAGCCGCCATGTGCACTGCCACTGAGTGGTCAGTGAAGACATGAAGCCTGAGGTGTCCTGATAATGGAGGCATCTGGTTTTGGAGGTCAGTCTCAATCAAGTGCATGCAGCAGAAGTCAGACTGTGGACCATCCTGGAGGCAGAGCTCATGGTGAAGAAGCCGAGGACACTATGTTCACATCCACGGACACTTACTTCCCTCAGCTGTGTCCCAGTGCAAGTAAAAATCTGTCATCATTTCAGAACGTGTTGTTCCTGGCTGTCTGGGGCTTTCATTGAAGCCCCAGAGGGCTTCTGCTTCCTGCTGATGCAGCCTGAGACTTTGCCCAATGAACAGCTTTCTCTAGGAGCCCAGACTGTTCATACTTCAGTTATAACTTCACCGAGCTGAGATTAATAAAATCAGGGTGGGGCCCAAGAAAGCAGAATGGGCATCTGGGGACAGCATGTGGCACCAGGGTAATTGTCCCAGAGGCTGCCATATCAGATGACAACAAAGAGGCTGGCTTAAAGTGAAAGGATTTTATTCACTCACACTTACGAGTTCAGATCCAGGGTCAGCAGTGTGGGTTCCTTTTAGGTCTGGGTTTTGCCCGCAGTCCTTGTTATTCCATGCCTTGTAGACACATCACTCCACCCTACGCCTCCCTCTCCTCAGCATCCTTCCCTGTTATCTTCATCAGTCTGTGACCAAATTTCCTCTTTGTATAATATCGGTTATTGGACAAGGCCCACCTTAATCCAGTATGACCTCATCTTACTGTGGTTATGTGATTACACCTGCAGAAGCCTATTTCCAAATAAAGTCACATCCACAGATACAAAGAAGTAGGATCTCAAAATACCTCTTTGAGGAACACAATTCCACCTTCATCCCTCCTTTTTTGTTGTTGTTATTGTTGTTTTGTTTTATGGTAGAAAAGTGTCAGACTCTCCAATCCTGACCATAAGTGCTGAGAGCCATGACCGAGTCTGTATGGCCCCTGGCATTTCGGCCATGGCTCTCAGCACATAAGAGTCTAAAGAGGACGGGACACAGGGGTTCCCCTGGACAGCAGACACTCAGATCTCGAGTCCCTTGGTGGTTGGAATAGACTCATCCTCAGAGTTGGGAGAATTGCCCCAGTTAGTAGAAGAGAGAACGCTCTGATGGTTATTGTTTGTTTGCGTATTTGCCCATTCTCCACCAAGCTGAGCCTTTGTTTTCTTCTCTGCAGAAACCAACAGAGCCATGGCGACTCCCTCTGCTGCCTTTGAGGCCCTTATGAATGGAGTCACAAGTTGGGATCTCCCTGAAGATGCCGTCCCATGTGAACTGCTGCTTATTGGAGAGGCCTCCTTTCCCGTGATGGTGAATGACATGGGCCAGGTCCTCATTGCTGCCTCCTCCTATGGTCGAGGCCGCCTCGTGGTCCTGTCCCATGAGGACTACTTGGTGGAAGCCCAGCTCACTCCCTTTCTCCTCAACGCTGTGGGGTGGCTTTGTTCTTCCCCTGGGGCTCCCATTGGTGTGCACCCATCACTGGCACCTTTGCTCAAAATCCTCGAGGGCTCTGGAGTGGAGGCAAAGATTGAGCCAGAGGTGAATGACTCCCTGGGAGTTTACTGTATCGATGCCTACAACGAAACCATGACTGAAAAGCTGGTCCAGTTCATGAAGAGAGGAGGGGGCTTGCTCATGGGAGGCCAAGCCTGGGATTGGGCCAACCAGGGCGATGATGAAAGGGTTCTGTTCACGTTCCCTGGGAACCTGGTGACCAGCGTGGCTGGGGTATACTTCACTGACAATAAAGGGGACACAAGTTTCTTTAAAGTCTCCAAGAAGATGCCCAAGATCCCGGTCTTAGTGAGGTGAGTACCTTATCCCAGAGTGGAGTTGGCCTCAAGTTAAGAAGCAGATGTGGCTCTTATCTTCTGCGTGCCTCCAGCCTCATGGAAGAAAATCGGGTACTCAGATGTGGATCCACATCGCCACATCCACCAACCCCAACTCAGTTTTTAAAACAGTCCTTATCATGGGAGGGACAAGGTCCTCAATGCTTCTACCTTCCCAGGCCAGACCACTTAGATGTTTGATGGGAGGAACTCTGTATTGGCCATTATATCCCCCAGGGTCCAGGTTACCAGCCCCTGGAGTCCTCCATAAATTTATGGAGGACTTAACCCAGGAAGGCTCATGGGAGAAGGTGTCCTTCAGTGGAAATGTGAGGAAAAGGAAAATGGGAAGGACCCTATAGGCCAAAGTCTAGAGAGCAGTAGGAAGGATGGAAATGGGAAGTCAGATGTGCTTAGGATGGAAATAGGAAGTGAGGATTCAGAAGTGAGGACAGCAAAAATGATGGTACAGTATGCTAAGTGTTGAACTTAGGAAGGAATTTTACCTCTGAGGGCGAAGGCCCAGGTAATGGAGAATGCAGGTGGGGGTGCAGTGTGGAGAACACCGCCCAGCCTGTGCTGCTCACAGACGGTGCTGAACACACTGCAGATTCACTGGTGCTCACACACATTTACCTCAGATGTAAAATTAGATGGATGAATAAGGAGGATTAAAAGCACGAGTCATCCCAGGTTTAGAAAAAATACACTGCGCAGCACCTATAGTACGTTAAAGTTCTCTGCATCCTCAGAACAAAGCACATGGATATTTTCCACAGTCGTCCTTTTTAACTTCCAGATTACAAGGAGATTTCAGAGTTTTAAAAATTGAGCATCTCAAAGATAAATGTGATTCCCTACATAGTTTGAAAATAATATCTGAGCAGGTATTTATGAGTTTATTTAGGATCTGCACACCCTTGGAGGGCATTGCCAGTTAGAAGTTAGATGTATAGTGAATAGAGAGTAAATTAGTAAAACCGAAAGTTATTAGTTGAAAAAAATCAGCAAACGTGATTAACCTCTAGATTATCTAACACAACAAAAAAGACATAATAACACAAATTATGAATTTCAGGGATGGAGAATAAAACATTAGTAAAGATTGTACAGTCATTAAAAGGATAATAAAGTTTACTACAACTTTATGCCAATAAATTTGACAACTAAGATAAAATGGACAGATTTCCTGACAGACACAAATTACCAAAATTGGCACAAGAGCAAATATAAAATACGTAAGTTGAATTATAATTAAATATCCCAACACTAAGTGCAGTGTGGCATCCTAGATTGGATTCTAGAAGACATTAGTGGAAAAACAGGTGAAATTTATATAAATTCTGGAGTTTAGTTAGTAGTATTTGACCAGTGTTAACCTCTTAGCAGCATACCATGGCTATATAATAGGAACATTACAGAAAACTGTGTCAAAGGCACATAAAAGCTCTCTTGTACTATATTTGCAAATTTTCAATTTTTTAAATTTCAAAAATAAAAATTTTATTTAAAACCAGCAACAACATGAATAAAACCCAATAGTTTTACAAATTATTTTACCAAACATTCAAGAAACAAATAATAGCAATGCTACATACAAACTCTTCCAAAAAAATTGAAGAGGAAGAAAATTTTCCAAAAATTGATTTATTAAACTAGCACTTCTATGATACTAAAACCATAGAAAGACATTTTAAGAAAAAGAAACAAAACTTCAGAACAATATCCCTCTTGAATATGGATGCAAGTTCTTAATAATACCATAGATAGAATATAACAATATATGAAAATGATAATAGATCATAACCAAGTACATCTATATTGCACATAGATAGCTGGTTTAATATTAAAAAACAAAATTAATTTACCATATTAATAGAAAAAAAAGAAAACCATGTCATTTCAATTAATGTATCAAAAAATTGACAAAATTTAATACAGAATCATAATGTAATTTCAACTAAAAAAGGAACTTCAATCTGTTAAGTGTCATCTAGGTAAAGGCATTCTTAATGGTGAAATACTGCATTCTTTCCCCCTAGAATGAGGGAAGGCAAGGAAGGATACCTGCTCTCATCCTTCTCTTCAACATTTCACTAAAAGTAGTAGCCAATGCAGTAAGGCAAGAAAAAGAAGGTACACAGACTGGAAAATAAGAAATTGTGTGTGTGTGTGAGTGTGTGTGTGTGAGAGAGAGAAAGAGAGAGTATTTTGTTTGTTTTACTTCACATTGCAATAGTTGCTCCTTATCTATGAGGCTTACATTCCAAGATCCCCAGTGGATTCATAAAACCAGATAGTACTAAGTTGTATTTATACAATGCTTTTTCCTATACATAAATACCTTTAATAAAGTTTAATGTATAGGCACAATAAAAGAATAATAACAGTTAATAATGAAATAAGGAAGCATAAAATACATAGTAAAAAGTTATGTGAATGATGTCTCTCTCATAATATCTTGTTGTACTGTATTCACATTTCTTCTTGTGATAATTTGAGATAATACAGTGCCTTTGTGATGAGATGAAGTAAGGTGAGTGACGAGGGTACTGGTACATAGTATTACCATGTAAGGGTCACTTGAACACACAGAAGTATTGCAACAGTCAATCTGATAACCAAGATGGCTAGTAAGAGGCTATTGGTGGGTATAGCAGGAATACACCAGACAAAGATGATTCATAACCCACAGAGAGCAGAATGGTTTGAAATTTTATCATGCTACTCATAATGGTGCATAATTTAATACTTTTGAATTATTTATTTCTAAAGTTTTCCATTTAATATTTTTGGACTGCAGTTACCTGCAGGTAAGTGAAAGTGTAGAAAGCAAAATCATGGATGGGGTTGGGGATACTGTAGATTTCCTAGAACACTGAGTGAAAGAAACGGGAAAAATTTGACCTGTCCTGTTAGAAAACAAATTACAGCAGTGCACATACCTGTAATCCCAGCAATTCAGGAGGCTCAGGCAGGAAGATTGCATGTTTGAGTCCAGCCTGAGCAACTTAGACCTAACTCAAAATAAAAAGTTAAAAATGGCTGCATATGTATCTCAGTTGTAATGGCTTTGGGTTCTATTTACATTACTGCAAAAGAAAAAAAAAGGAACAAAATTAAAAAGAGACAAAAAAAAACTATTTTGGGAATTTAGAAGATTTGTAAGTGACAAGATTCACTTGAACATAAGTTCAGCAAAGGATTTTCTAGAGTGGAGTTATTTTATCCCTAGAAGTATTTGCATAAAATGTGATCATGGGTATAAAAAGTTATTTAAAAAAAAGTACAGAAAAACTGCTATGCCAGACAGAAAATCAATTACATTTTATACTAGCAACTAACAGTTGGTAATTGATCTTAAAATACATCATCATTTAAAATAGAACCCAAAACTATGAGGCACTAAGGGTTAATTTTAACAAAACCTGTAAATTGAAAGCTACGAAATACTACCAAGAGAAATTAAATGAAACAAGGAAGTTGTGAAATGCACTGTGCTAATGGATCAGAACACTCAATATTCTTGAAGTCAGTTTTTCCAAAATGACCTATATTCTCAATGCAGTTCCAGTCTTTCTTTTTTTCCTGTTTCTAAGCGAAAGCATGCAGTATTCAAATTAAAATTAAAATACAAATGAAAAGGAACTAAAACAACCAAACTTACTTTGCAAATGAAGAACAAAGATGATCTATACTACCTGATTTCAAAACTTCTATTAAGTTGAAGTAATCAAAACACTATGATATTGGCATAAGAGTAAGAAACACGCTGGATAGTTCAGAGATGAATTTTTAAATTCATGATCAATTTTTTTTGATGAGGTGACCAAGGTAATTCAATGAGGAAAGGATAGTCTTTTCAACATATTGTTCTGAAAAAACTGGACAGTGTTAGAAGGGAACAAAACTAATTCTGACCCTTACCCCTCTCCATGCAAAACAAATACCTAGAAATAGATCTAGACCTGAATGCAAAAACAAAAATTCATAAACTTCCTAAACGACAGCACAGAAGAAAGTATCTGCCCCTGAGTAGGTAAAGATTGACAACATAAGACAAAAACGTACATGGCCACAAAAGGAATGTGGACTTGCATTCAGTGTACATAGAGAACTCTTAATCCCAATAATAATAAGACAGTTAAAGAAAAAAGCAAAATACTTAACTTCCTTCACAAAAGATGATAGAGGAGAAACCAAATCAGTGTTCTAGCTGCCAGCAAAAGCCCATGAAGTGTTTCTCAAAAACAGAGGTCATTAGGAAAATGTAAATTTAAATCACAGTGAAATATCACACACCTCTAACATCAAAAAATAGCTAAAATTAAAGATTCACTGTGCCAAGTATTGACAAGAATGTGGAGCAGCTGGCATTTTTATATATAGCCACTGGGGACATCAAATGACACAATGACTTTGGAAAATGACTTAACAATCTTTTACAAAGTTCAGGGGCATTTAGCACTCAACTCAGCCAACTCATCCCTGAGTGTCCATGAGTGATGAAACATGTCCATGCCAAAACTTATACATCAACATTCATGACAGCAGGTCCCAAACAGGAGGCTACCTAAATTTCCATCATCAGAAGAATGGATAAGAAAATTATGGAATATCCACAGAAGAGCAACCTACTCAGCAGTAAAGGGGCGAATGACTGATAAGACTCAACAATCTGTACGGGTTCTTAAAAAACTGTCCTCAGTGAAAGTAGCTGAGCTCAGAGAGTACATGTTTATGGTTATATGCATGTGAAATCCCAATCAATCCATATGTATAGAAGGTGCATTAGGCTGGATTGAACGTGACAGGGCAAATAGTACATTTTGGGGGTGATGGAAATTGTGTGTGTTCAAAATGGCGTTAAAACACTGATGAACATTCAGATCATCTCCATTTCTTGGCTTTTGTGGAAAATGAACAATGCAATGAGCTTTAGAGTGCAGCTATCTCTACAAGTTGCTGATTCCATT